ATCCTTTTATGCTATGATTTATAAACACATCTATATGTTAAAAACCAACAATATATTGTTGTAATTATTTCTTTATCTTCATCTTTTTAGAGGAACTGAAAGCATAAAGGAGAACAAAAATATATTTATATTTACAGTATTTATTCATAATCTTCTTATTTACAATTTCTGGTTCTCTTCATTTCTTCCCACAGGTTCCATTTACTTCTGGTATAACTTCCTTCCCTCAATATGTCTCCACCCTCACCCACACCCTTTGTGCCATTATTGTCAAATATATTATATTTCTGCATTACAGACTCAACAATACAATTATATCCATGTTGTTTTAGTCAACTGATTTTTAATCAGTTAAGCAAGAAAGGGGGATATGCAATTATATTGTCTTTCATAATCACATAATCACTTGTATCGGTGTTCTTTGTTTTTGTGTGTGTATTGAAATTAGTGTCTGGGATCATTTGAACTTGAGTGTTTCTTCTAAGTCAGGTCTGCCGGTAATGAATTCTGTCCCTATTTTGGTTCATCTAGTTGATCTTAATTTCTTCATTTTGAGAAGGTAGTCTTATTGGAAGTAAGATTATTAGTTGATAGATTTCTTTTTTCTTTTCAGCACTTTTGATATGCCATCCTGCTGCCTTTGGGTCATTATTGCTGCTGAGAACTCAGCTGTTAATCTTATTGGGATTCCCTTGTACATGATGAGCTGGTTTTCTCTTGCTGCTGTCAAGATTTTTTGTCTTTGATTTTCAGCACTTTTTCTGTCACGTGTCTGGGTATAGATTTGTGTTTATCCTACTTGGAGTTTCTGACTTTCTTCAATGTGTAGATTAATGGGGTTTTTTTGTTTGTTTTTTTTATCAAATTTGGGAAATTATCAGTCATTACTTCCTCACATGTTTTTCTCTGTTTGGTACATTCATCGTGTATATGTTCATGTGCCTAGTGGTGTACGTATTTCTGTGAGGCTCTGTTCATTTTTCTCCATTCTTTTTCTCCTCTGTTACGTTGTGTAATCTCTGCTGATCTTCAAGGTCCCTTGTCCTTCCACCAGCTCAAACCTCCTGTTGGGCCCCGTGGTGAATTTTACATTCCAGTTCTTTCCTTTTCCACTCCAGAATGTCCCCTTTTCCATTGGTTATAATTTCTGTTTTTCCGTTGATATCTTTGATTAAAACATTGTACTTACTGCTTAATTACTTATATATGATTGTTTTAGTTCCTTGAATGCATTTGTGACAGCTTTGATGTCGGAGCCTATCAAGCCTACATCTTGGCCTCTCACACAATTCCTTGTGTCGTCTTTGTACATGTTCTTATTTCTTTGAATGTATTATAATTTTACGTTAGCCCCAGCACATTTTAGATAAAATTCCATCTTAGAGGCCATACCCACCCAGGGGGTTATAAGGAGTTGGTCCCAGGGAAGGAAGCAGTCGTGGATTGTGGCTCTAATGACACAGATCCTTACTGTTCTTACTGAGGTTTGGTACGTTCTCTTAAGAAAATTATTTCCTTGTATGTATTTAGGACAATTACTAGAAACTTGAAGTGGTTGATCTTTATAATTTTCACCAGTTGTTTCATTGGGGAGAGGGAACCCGGCTATATTTATACTGCCATTTGAGACGTGCTTCCCTGTTGTCACCTAAAATTATGTCAAAAACGTTCAGGCCTTTATTACTGGTTTAGAATCGGAACAGGCACTAGGGATAGTTTTTAATCCCTTAATCACTGATACAGCAATCCGGTAAGGGCTATTACATGTAGACTGATGTCAAATGCTGTCCATGGGAAACATTCCAGATGGGGAGAAATTCTGTTTTCTAAGGTTGAGTGGACTCAGTTACTAGAAAGACCATTCCACTGGGGGGGATAAAAAACCGGAAATGTATAACAAGACATTTTATAAGTATTTTTAATCAGTTAGTAACTAGCAAATTGGCAAGGAAATCAATGACTAAGTGAAAGAGGAATCCAAAAAAGTAGCACACTGAAGGTGGCTTTCACCTTAGGGACACTGATGAACCAGGCAAACTTGAGAATTAGTTCTCAAAGGCTTCCAGTACATGAGGAGTACAAGAAGTCCAGGCTCATCTTGAGGTATCTAATAGTAGACCTGAGAAGCCACACAAAGCTAAATATCCAGCGTCAAGATGAATAAGAAATACTCCCCTTTACAACAGTACAAGGAAAACTGGCTGTCTCAAAATTAATGCTGAGGAGGGCTAGGAGTTTCTCTAAGAATTTAGAGCTATCAATCAATCCTCACGTGAGTTTACAATCAAATTTTATTTTGTCTGAGTGGTTAATCCTGAAGGCACAACCTTAACCTGGTACCAGCTTTCCTCTAGCATTGGACAGAATCAAATATAGCTCATCCTTGAAAAGGCCCATCTTCAACTCAGGCCTCAAAGAATTCCCAGAAATAAGACAGTTAAGTTCACACTCAGTAGGTCACAAAGTATACAAGTAAACCAAACACCAGGAGTAAGAGGCAGCAGAGAGAATATTAGACACCACATGTAGATCCACCAATACCTCATATACGATAATTACTGATATCAGCATTTACCAAAAAGGAAGTACAATCACTGTGTTTACAGAAACTTAAAAGAATTTGAGAAGTGGAAAAAGCCAGGATAATTGAACGTGACCAAGCATGTTGACTAGGTAAACTTCTAGAAGTGAAAAATAGAATAATCAAAATATAAAATCCAATGGCTGTGTAAGTTTAACAGCATATTAGTAATAGATACAGTGAAGAGAGAACGTGGTGAGCTGGAAGACAGATCTGTGAAGATGACACATAACTGTGAACAGAGAAAAAAATATGAAAGGTTACACAACATGGAGATTTTTAACTTAACATCTAGTTGAAGTTCCTGAAGGAACAGAGAAGAGAGGAAAAGCAATATAGGAGCAGCTGATGACGAAGAACGTTGTGGGACTGATACAAGACAAAAACAAAAATCCACGTATTGAGGAACCCAAATGAATTTCAAGGAGGGACAAGAAAAATAAGTCCATAATCGGAAGCATTATAGTGAAAAATGCAGAACACCAAAGAGAAAATCTTTAAGACCAAGAAAAACCCTCAAAAGAACATAATTAGACCTCTTAATACCTGACATGATGACGTAGTAATGGAAATCAGAGGGCAGTAAGACATGTGAAGATAAACTGTCAACCCAGACATACGTGATGAACTAGTACAAAATAAATGGGTTATTTCTGCCCAAACAAAAGCTAAGAGACTTTTTCACCAGTAGACTCCCACTAAATGAACCTTTATTGGATATACTTCACTTCCTTATGACATGACCCAGCAATTCCACTCCTAGGTGTCTGTACTCAAGAGAATTGAAAACACAGGGCCCTAAGAAACTTGTACACATTGTTCACAGCATCATTATTCATAACAGCCAACAGGTAGAAGTAACCCAAATGTCTACAACTGATGAATGGATAGACAAGGTGTAATGTTTTCATACAATGGAATATTGTGTTATTCTGCCATCTAAACAAGTGAAGTACCAGCCAGGCACAGCAGGGCACAGGCCTGCGGTCCCAGCTACTTAGGAGGCTGAGGCAGGAGAATCCCTTGAGCCCAAGAGATTGAGGCCAGCCTGGACAACATAGTGAGACCCTAGCTCTAAAAGAATAAAAATTTGTCTTCAAAAGTTATGAAGTACTGACACATGCCATAACATAGATGAACCTTGTTGAAAACATGCCAAGTGGAAGATGATTACATATTTCATGATGCCGTTTGTATGAAATCCCCAGACTAGGCGAATCCAGAGAAGCAGGAAGTAGATAAGCAGTTGCCACGTGGAAGGGGCTGGGAGAATGGAGAATAAACGCTACAAGTAGATAGTGGTGATGGTTATACAATTCTGTGAACATACTAAACCCCCCAAATTGTATTTTTATTTATTTATTTCTTTTTTTGAGTCTCACTCTGTCACTCTGGGTAGAGTGCCCTGACCTCATAGCTTACAGTGACCTCAAACTCTTGGGCTTGAGTGATCTTTCTGCCTGAGCCTCCCCATTATCTGGGACTTTGGGTACCTGCCACAACGCCCGGCGACCTTTTCTATTTTTAGTAGAGATGGGGGTCTCGCTTTTGCTCAGACTAGCCTCAAATTCCTGAGCTCACTTGGTGTATACCACACCTTTGGGGGGCAGGACACAATTGTAAGATGGACTTTACCTAACACATGCAGTCAGTGTCATTTGGTTTCTTGTACACTCAATGAATCCCCAACAATTAAAAAAAAAGAAAATTCCTGAGCTCAAGGGGCCCACCTGTCTCAGCCTCCCCAAGTGGGAGGATTGTAGGCATGAGCCACTGTGCTCAGCCTCAAATTATATTTTTAAAGGGATAAATTTTATGGAATATGAATTTTATCTCAATAAAGCTGTTACTTTTGAAGAAAGAGGAATAGAGGAAGAGAGAATTATACCAAAATGGATATCACTTGACCACCTCTCTGGGTCCCCAGCGTTTTCTGTCAAACTTAGGAAATACCAGGCCTGAGGCAGAAACAGTTGAGGAGTGGAGAAGTTCCAGTGCACTCCCTGAAAACTCCTCTTTCTGTTCCAGTGACTTTTTAGGCTGGATGAGAAGGAGCCCTGAGGCTGCCCTAAGGTGGGAAGGAAGGGCCAGCAGGAGGGGTAGCCCTCCCACTCATGGATGTTCCCATGAACCACCAGTGAGCACTTTGCTGTACTGGCAGAACAAATGAGTGCCTCTAACTGTCAAAATTCCCCCAAGTACAATCCTGCGTCTTTCACACCAGTCATACAAGTGAGCTCACAGACTCGAATGGTTCAGCAGCTCCCTACTCCGCTTGTGGGGCTATGACAGATCACTGCCCTCTACGGCTGGTTCCCCACTCCGTGTGTGGGGCTGTGACAGATCGCTGCCCTCTCCGGCTGGCTTTTGCTCATGCTGTGTGTTCTTACCCAATCTCCTGTCTTCTTTTGTGTTTCAGTGGCTGCCTCAACCCCTAATTCCACTGCTGGTGCAGCCATGAATTCCTTGACCTCTCTTGGGACTCTGCAAGGACTGGCTGGAGCCACTGTCGGACTGAATAATATTAATGCACTAGCAGGTACCATCAACAGTGAGTATTTGCTGCTCTGGTGGACAGCCTTCCCCCAAATTCTCCACAGAAAGCGGTCAGCCAGAAATGACCTAAAAAGGATACATGACGGGGAGAACTAAAACTTGGGGTGGAGGAGCGCATGCCTCAACAGGCAAAAGCTACCTACGTTCATTTTGCTCAGAAAATACCCAGCCACTCACCACCCCTAGATTCTCGTCAGTACGTAGTACGTGCACTCATCTGAAGATTCCTGTGGGTGACAGTCGGTCAGGTTTCCCAGGCTGGGCGGGGTTGGGTTGGGTTCTGTTCTCCCATGAGGCCGTGTGTCATAATGGGAAGTCAGGAAGCTGGAGTTCAGCTCCACTGCCGATCAGATCAGCGGCAGGAGCTCAGGCAGGTCCCTGTTCCCTCTCCGGGCTTCAGAGTCTCCATGGCAGATGGAAAGTTCTGGATCGTAGGCTCTTAAAGGTCCCTCCCACCCCCCGCCACCAGCACTAAACCGCAAAGATTCATGATAGTTATACACAGGACAAAATGAGGCCCTTGAAAGAGTGGAGGGAGCTGCTGGGGGAAGAAACATCTTCTAGCATCTGTATGGAATACCCATAGGCAGGGTTACACTCCAGCAGTGGTTAAGCATGGCAGGAGTCACCCCACAGCAGTGCCTATCCAGAGGGGCGTCGGTTAACCATGGTGCGTTGAAGTAGGTTTTGAGGCAGACAGATTGCAGAATTACACTTGGTTCTGAAACATAGAGACTCACCACAGGACTCCAGGTTCTAATCCATCACTTGAGCTCTGAGTGGAGAGTAGCATTCAGGCCGGGGAAAAGTCCTGTTTCAGGCTCATGCTTGCTGTAGGTTCCTGCACTGGAGAAACAGACCCTCAGCCCAGAGAGGGGACATGGAATTTGCCTGTCTCTCCATTTGGCACCCCTGGTCGCCTTGAGAGGACCCAAGTCCAAGTCTGTGGCAGCCAATAGAGCTGCCAATTTGGGGGCCTAAGTACTTACTGTGTAGCCCAGGCTCGAGTTTTTAATAAAGGGGTATTTGACAGTTGTTCCCTTTTAAACTGTGAGTCAAGAAGTGGACCGATTTTAAAGGGTGAGCAGACAGCGATTTTTAAAAAAGGAAAGAAAAATTGTCATTTTATGCTTTAAAAACAGGGGTATCCAACCATTTTTTTTTCCTCTGCCACACTTTGGAACAATAAGAGTTGTCTTGGACCACACAGTTAAATTCACAAATGGTGGCTCAGCGCCTATAGCTCAACCGGCTAAGGCGCCAGCCACGTACACCTAAGGTGGTGGGTTTGAATCCCCAGCCCGGACCCGCCAAACAACAATGACGGCTGCAACCAAAAAATAGCCAGGCGTTGTGGCGGGCGCCTGTGGTCCCAGCTACTTGGGAGGCGGAGGCAGGAGACTCGCTTGAGCCCAGGAGTTGGAGGTTGCTGTGAGCTGTAATGCCACGGCACTCTACCCAGGGGGACAGCTTGAGGCTCTGTCTCAAAAAAAAAAAAAAAAATTCACAAATGGTAATGAAAGTTGATTAGCAACCACAAAGAAAAGGTCTGTATGTACTTTTCATGATAGCAAACACCACGGATAACTAAACATGTCCTCGCTAAATCAGCACGCGGGCCAGTGGTTGGGCACCCCTGCTTTAAAAGCTCAGAAAGAATACATTGCAGTTTACATGGTTACAAAGAACCTAAAATTCATCCAGATAAAGATTAACTTTTATAACCCTGATAAGAAAATACTATGTTTAGAAGGGGGAAACTTTCAGGTTTTATGAAATCCTTTTAGTCAGATTGTCTGAGAACTACAGAAACTTGGCTGAGTTTTACCCAGCCATGGGGCAAGGACATTTTCCTCCCCAAGGTGGTGGCTCTTGACTTGCACACAGTACATGCCAGGTCACCTTGACAGCCAGCACGTCTGACTTGAGCTTTGCCCTTCTCCACCAGCCAGTAGCAGCCCTGCCACCCCACCTCCCATTTCAGGCACAGCTCCTCTTCCTGACCCTGCCCTTCACCCAGGTTGAGGACGCGCCTGTTTGCACACGTCCCCTAGGTTGAGGATGCGCCTGTTTGCACACGTCCCCTCATGCTGCTTCTCTTGCCCCAGGACCTAGTTCCCCTAAAACAAGGACTTTGATTTGATCGCCCGCCTGTCCCTGGTCTGCAGAGTAACAGGCCAGTGGGAATGGTTGTCCTCCTCAGCACGTGCTCATGACTGCTGTGTGTGTGTCCTCCGTCTGTGTCCTGCCCTGTCCACGCGACTCTGCTGTACGTTGCTGGGGTCTGCCCGCTGTTAGCGCGAGGGACTGGAGAGGGCTTTGTCTATCGGCAGAGCGACCATGAGTAGTTCTTGTGCGGGGCTTGTGTTATACGGAGTTTGCTTCTGGCAAGGACAATAGGTTTAAATCGTTTTGTTTTTCAAAATTTTTTGCCACTGGGTTACTACAAATATGTATAGTTCATGGGAAATTAAGAACGAATGTTTGTAGTTTTCAATAACCCCTACCAGGCAAGTATGAACCAAAAAAATGTTGAGTGAAACCAGAAGTCATTCCCATACAAGTGAAAATCCGTTCCTTCTGATTTGACAGGTACTGTTAGTGGTGAGCTAGTTTATGCTCTCAAAATGGACGTAGAGCGAATGTTTGCTACTTGTCTCAAGTTAAACTTCCATCAAGGGAAAAATCTTCTAAGATAGAGTATCCTCTTTCAGACCATTCTTCCTTAACAAAATGATGATGCTCCCTGTTCTGCTGGATAATTCTCAAAGAAGGTAATCAAGAAATGGCTACCTAGACAGAGCCAGCCTCTGCAGAAGTTGGCCACAGCCTCCATCTCGTTCCCGTTCCCTACCCTGCTCTGTCCCAGGGGCCATCATTTGCTACTACGCAGGAGGGTATTCGAGTTTTCTGAATAGAGCCAGCGCTCTGCCTCGGCTATGGCAGCCAGAAAGAAAGTCAGTAGATGACTCATTGGGAAAACCTAAATTTCACCTTCTTCCCCTGCCCTCCCAGGATGAAGGTTTGGGTTAGTAGATAAGCAGCCAAGTTAAACTGTCTGTGTTGATAGCCTTCTTCTCCCTTACACGTTAATGAATGGAGGGTCTGAAACACAGCACAGCCCCTGAGGATAAAGTCAGCAGGACCAGGTGAGGCATGAGCCGTTCCCCACCTAGGCTTCTGCCTCTGGACTGTCGGAGGCCCCCAGGCACGTCTTACACGTCAGCATCAGAGAGGAGGGACAGCCCTGCAGATATGTCCACCCACAGATCTGTATCTGATTTTGTGTTTAAATGTATGACAAGTGGCATCCTTATTTTCTCTTACTTAAAGTGCATAATTCTTCTAAATGGCTTCCCATATAGTGTTTAAAATTACGATTATTTGAATAGCACCAGCCACAGATGCCTGGTGAAAAGTGTTTATGGAAATACTTTTATGTAAAGTAGAGAAAACGAGAAGATGATTTGGGCATATTCTTGTGGCTTGTCACTATTTACATTGCAAAATGACTGTTTTAATCATCTTCTTGGAATTTATACAGATGAATGCAGTTAAATACATACCCAAGCACACACTCCACACACGTATTTGTGACCTTAATGACACAAGTGTCCATAGAACTGTGACTAATTGGACAGCCTGTTAGGCATCTACCCTGGCCGTAGACATCTAATTCCTAGGTCCTCATTTATCAGCTCGCAGCTTAGAAGGATAATACCTCTTCCGCACAAAGGAAAACTTATCCCAGTAACTAGGTTACAAATCCATGAGAACATACTACTTTGTTCTTCACTTTTTTTCCTTTTTGTTATAAAACCCAGCAGAGCGTGGTCTTCTTGGTACTTGGCCCTACCTCTGCCTGTCAGTACCATCTCCGTAGTGCCACAGCTGTGATTTACTCGGTGAGCTCCCAGCCCCTTGGGTCTCTGTCATTGAACCTTCAACGCTGAGGGGTCAGGCGGGCTGTGCACCACACTCCTGACAGATGGGGGCAGGCCCGCCCTGCCCAGCTCTGCCACACTGCCACATCGTTCCAGCCTTCCTCATCCAAACAACAGGCGTGGGAGTGAAGAATAACCGGGAGGACGGGTCGCTCCATTGGCCAGTTCAAAGAAAAGCCCTCTGGAAGCCTTTTATTCAACTTAACTTTCTTTGCAACCTCTGCTTCTATCATCCAAAGCTTTTAGAGTTAATCAGTTGCCAGTGATCAAGTTGATAAGGGTTAACACTGATAGAGCAGGTAATTCATAGGAATTATACTCAAAAGTTGAAATCTGCCTTTGATGGTTCTTAAAATTCTACCATGGAACCAACTACCTATTTCTACCATGGATTTGGCAAATACTCCCTCCCCCAGATTTGCCAAAATAGATTTGGTTTTAAATGTTCTCAATGCACTTTGTCTTACTAGAACTTTCACCCTTATTTTGAGTTCAAATGGAAAGTTACAGTGAGGAGGTGGCAAGCCCTGGGCTGGAGAGGCCAAGCTTTCCTCCCACCTGCGCAGATCCCTGACTCGGCCCCCTCAGCGTCTCCTCACTCCGCATCCCCAGGCATGTGACATCCTCTGCCACCTCCCTCCACTTCTCCAGACAGGTAGGGCCATCCATGACTGTCTGGTACACACATGGCACCAACAGAAGCAAACAGGCCTTCCAGAAAGCAGATCAGCCCTGAGGTATAGCCCAGAATCAGCCAAGCACCGTAAAGCGTAGGCAGGAAGCCTGCAAGGCGGCTGGAACGCCACTTGCTGGGGCTTCAAGTGTTACCAGGACTGTCTTTCATCCTGAAACGTCCACCCAGTATTTCAAGAGCATGAAGTTGGTCCTGCCTAAGAAAAAAAAATTAGGAAGCTACAGGAGAACAGATGTTCAATATGGAAAGAGAATTCTCCTGGCCTAGACCGCAGAAGACCTTGTTCCAGAGACAGGAGGTTACAGGCGCTGCAGGGCAAGGCCACCTGCGCACTGGCCCCCGGAGACACCGCTGAGTCGAGGGGGCTCTGTGGGAAGGCACTCCTGGGGGTCTTAATGGCAGGGCCTGGAAATGACAGCCCCCTCAGAAGACGAGCAGTCATGGTGACATACTCCATGAGTGGCAGGGAAGTTCAGAGACGGTCCTCAGAGGGGCTCTGTCTTCCTGCCGCACTCCCAGCAGCTGGGGGACAAGACCCACACACCTTGGTGGACGTCGTGCGCAGCTCACCACTCACTGTCCGGCTAAGCTCCTACCAAGCAGGGATCAGAGTTTCCTGAGGGCTGAGCCATGGCTGGATTGTCTAGTCCCCAGCCCTGCACCAGCCTGGCAGATGCGAAACCAGTGGAATCTGTGAGGAGTGCCTGCTTTCCTCCAAGTCATTTCATGCCCTCCTCTCTACTCTCACCTCTCTCAGAAAAGAAACACTCATGTTTCTTTACATCACACAAGTACTGGGAGGTGGGGGTTCACAAGACCCCTGGGGGACATAAAAACCACTTCTCAGCCCTGTGGCAACCGTAATAACAGGGATGGCGGAGAAGAGGAGGCCGGGAGGTAGAGGTGATGAGTCGGTCTCAGGGATCGCTGGGAGTCCTTATGAGGACAGACCATTTCCAGGCTCTCAACAGCGCACACTTGGATGACTGGGAAAAATACGGATTCCTGATGATAAGAAACTTAGACGCTGCAGATCTGCTGGCCAGCACCTCAGTTCCTCTCTTAGCAGCGCTGTCCCCTGCTCGTCCCCCACCACCATCTCTCACCCCCTCTGCCTGCGTCCTGAGGCGGACGCACCTGGCCCAGCCCGGTCTCCTCAGGCCCCACCACAGGGACACAGACCCGAGGCACATGGAGTCCTCTGCTGCCGAGCCGCAGTCCAATTCACATCTCACACATCGTCCTTTCAACGGAAGAGACGAAGGTGGCCAGGAACAGAAGCCCAAATGGACTGGGAAGAACATTCCCCACCTCCTCGACTGCCTGGGGAGTAGTGACCCCAGGAGTAATCCTGAGAGGCCTGTGGAGCTCGGATTCCCCTGTGGAGTCTCCCACAGCCCAGTCTCGGCTGTCCTCTGTGCCCGTGAGACTCCCTACCCATTTCTGTCGTCACTGATGTTTTCAGTAAGTTCTTCACAGAAACAGTTTTATTAAGTTGTAATCATAATGGGAGCAGAGGCAATTGTGACGTCACCCCTTGTGTTTCCTGAGCTCAGATGGAAGTGGAGGCCCTACGAAGTGTTGCTCTTTCTGACTCAGTATTCAGGGAAGATGTGACACGGCCAGCAACCAAACTGCAAAAGAGCAGCCAGACATGGGCCAAAGGCACAAAAGGACACTGGCCAGCCTCCCACGCACATCAGTCACAGCCAGGATCCAGCCTGCAGACACGAGGTCACTTCAGTTGACAGCAGAACATGACACGGAGCCCTTTCAATGGCAGAAACCCCAGGGTTGGGCAGGGATTGACACACACAGGTGCACAGTAACTATTTGCTGCTGAAAACCACCAGTTTCTGGCCTTTGATACTGAATAAGCAGCTTGAGTTCTCTCTAGTTTAGGGAAGAAAGATCCCCTTTCTTACTCCACCTCCATTCGTAATGAGCAAGGCTGTTTATTCCTAAGGTCCTACACCCTGACAACATCCCTCAGGACCCAGTGACCCCCTGGTTACCTTGTCTGCATGCCATTTCCTCATCAGCTTCAGGAAGAAAGTTTTATTTTATCCTCTTTTCCCCAAACCCTTGAGCCAGCCCCTGGCTCCTCAAAGAGCCCCGTAGATGGATTTAAGTGTACAGATGGGGCAGGCCTCTGCCACTAAAGTTTTTGCACATTCTTCTAAGCTCTAAGAAGTCTTTTAGTCCCGAAAGATAACACCGGTACTTGCCAGTAGCACGTCGCATGGGACTGAGATGTGTTGTCTAACTGTAGTGCCTCGGCGCATCTGGGTCACGGGCCCAGGGAGGGAGGGTCGTCACTGCTTAGGTCTTTTTTTTTTTGCATTATTGTGATTCGTTTCTCCGTGGTTCTGTTTTTAATTTCCCGTTGGTGTGGTTGGTGTGCTAGCTGCATGTACTTGCTGTTCAACGTAGTACTTGTGTCTGATGATTCTCTGACTTCCTTTGGAAAGCACTAATGAATAAGTGCTATTTCTTTTCTCTATTGTTGGGTTTTTTGTAAAGTTGCTCAAATGCTCTCAGGTATGGCGGCTCTGAATGGAGGACTTGGCGCCACAGGCTTGACGAATGGCACGGCTGGCACCATGGACGCCCTCACCCAGGCCTACTCAGGAATTCAGCAGTACGCGGCTGCCGCGCTGCCCACTCTGTACAGCCAGAGCCTGCTGCAGCAGCAGAGCGCTGCGGGCAGCCAGAAGGAAGGTAGGTGCCGCCCTCGCCTGGCTGAGGCCTGCAGGGGTCAGCCCACCGGCAGCTCTGGCCCTTAGAGCGTGTGTAGGAGGTACCAGGTTGAACCTGAGTCCTAGGGAAACCAAATGGTTTTATTCTTGTGTTAAAAAGAATAAAATACGATGGCATGGTGATGTGGACCTGTAGTGCCACCTACTCGGGAGGCCGACGTAGGAAGATCACTCGAGCCCAGATTTGGGGCTACTGTGAGCTATGATGATGCCACTGCACTCCAGCCTGGGCAATAAGGCAAGACCCAAATAACAAAACAAAATTCCTCTGGAAACCTGCAGCCTAAAGGCCACGTGTGGCTGTCCAGATCCTGTGAGCTATGATGATGCCACTGCACTCCAGCCTGGGCAATAAGGCAAGACCCAAATAACAAAACAAAATTCCCTCTGGAAACCTGCAGCCTAAAGGCCACGTGTGGCTGTCCAGATCCCCAAGTGCAGCCTTTCCACCAAACCCAAACATCATAAAGCTAATCCCTTTATTAAAAATACTAATTCTGTGAAATGTGGATTCAGTCAAAAGGCTGCACTTAAGGATCCCAAAGGCCACACGTGGCCCCAGGGCCCCAGGTTCCCCACCCCTGTGTCTCTCAAGATGAAGTTCTCATCCATGGTGTGTTTACACACAGTTACTTACTAGTTGTGACCATCACCATTGCTAGGAACCTGCTCTCCCTAATCGGCAGGGACCATCAGTTTCCCTCCTGCACATCTAACAGAAGGGGGTGGATCCTCAGGTTTCTGTGGTGAAGCCACTCTCCCTTCTGTGTGTCTCGGGTTTTTCCAGGTCCCCCTACCCTGTGATTGTGCGACTGCCTCTCAGGAGAGAGGTAGTGGTCTTCAGGTTAATGATAAAAGCCACAGTGAGGATTGAGTTGGTCTTTGTAATTGGGGGTCTTCTGGGAAAGCAAGTAAGTGATTGATTGCCTTGCTTCTCTGGCAATAAAGCCAAATAAACTTGCGGAAGTTAATGCTAAGAATAAATTAAAGCTAGTTATAACACGGTCAATGAGCTAGTCCAGACAGGGACAGTTCCTCTTTCTTCCTTATGATTTTTTTTTTTTTGAGACAGAGCCTCAAGCTGTCTCCCTGGGTAGAGTGCCATGGCATTACAGCTCACAGCAACCTCCAACTCCTGGGTTCAAGCGAGTCTCCTGCCTCTGCCTCCCAAGTAGCTGGGACCACAGGCGCCCGCCACAACGCCTGGCTATTTTTTGGTTGCAGCCATCATTGTTGTTTGGCGGGCCCAGGCTGGGGATTTGAACCCGCCACCTTAGGTGTATGTGGCTGGTGCCTTAGCCGCTTGAGCCACGATTTCTTCTTAAATGAAGTTGCTTTAAAGCAAAATCTGTAACATGATAGTTACTTTTTTCCTGACTTGTGTAGAATATGGGAAGTACTCAAGGCACTATTTTAAAATCTATTTTCCTTCTCCTTTACCCTCCCGCCATAATTCCAAGCTGCTTTTGTGTGAACGCTTTGACCTTGAACACGGTATTGTATAAGACATAGTGCAGTCTTACTTTGGAAAGTTGTGAGTTTTAAGGGGGCATAGCTGAAACGATACTCATATTTTTTGGGAAAGGAAAGGGTTTTCTTTTTACAAAAGATTATTGAAAGATACATGAAATTGTAAGTTAGGTTTCACTGTGTATCCTTTACTCTTAGCAGTGGCTGTAGTGAGTATTATAAATGTGTCCCACTGTTCAGGCAACTGTAGTTCACCAGGCGTGTGAGAGAGGCCCCCGTCTGGCCAAAGAAAAGCGTCTATGTTCTTTTGTGAACTGAGTGCTGTGGTGACAGATGAGGGCAGCAGGTGGGGTTCTGTAAGATAACGATGGCCTCAGACAGGGACCATAAAGCCCCTTCCCTCATGGCTTCAGGGCATGTTGGTCCCTTCTCCATCATCAAGCAGGGCCTTACAGCAAACTCTAGCCTGTGGCAGGAAGCAGTGTCACCAGACTCAATGTTCAGTGGCTCAGAAGTAAAGATGGGGCCCTGACCATGTTTTGCTGAGTCCCTTTGCCCAGTCCCCTCCCCGGAATCCCCTCGCCTTGAGTATTAATTAGCTAGTGCTGAGTGCGGAATTCCCCTTCTGTCACCTCCCCCCTTGTCACCATCTCCTCTCTCAGGTCACATTAGTGTAAGTAAAATCTAATTTTAATAACACATTATACCGGGAGGGGGGAAAAATGTAAGGAATTTCAGTACTAAATAGACTTTGTAATTTCCTACTGCACAGTTCTGTCCTTCCGGCAAGAGAACGGAAAGGCAGTTTAGTGGATTTAGTCACGTACCCTGGTATATTTTCCCCCCATAGGAAAGTGATCCAGTCTGGCTTCGTTAGAAAATAAAAATGAATGGTTTTAACTTTTTGCAGCCAAACCTTCTGAAAGGTCATGGCATCTACTATCCAGAAAACTTGATCACCGTTTTTGCCCTCCCCAAAGGTCCCCTGACCACTCGCCCCGTCCCATCTTCCTTTGTTTTTAAGAGGCAAGAGAGGTACAGGGACAGAGCCTCTGGGCACCCAGTGAGAAGCTAGGGAGTGCAGGTGGTCTGACCCATGTGCAGCCCCACAGACGCCCCAGTGCTGCGTGCTGGACAAATGCCCTGTGAGCAATGCCAGGTGTGGACTCTCCTGCCAGCTGGGCACTGGTGTCAGACCTGACACTCTCACAGTGCAGACGGCATGTCCTGGGGAAAATGTGGCCCACCCCAGGGTGATTGTGAACAGGGCTGCACTGCTCCTGGCGGTCGAAGAGAAGATGAGACACAGGTACAGTCCTCCCCAAAATGTATTTCCATCCCCTGGGTATTAGCCACCTTAGTTGTATACAGGGAAGTTTTCTATACAGAATCACCTTTTCCTCATTTTAATATAAAGAAATTTGTGGAGGAGGCGAGTTGCAAAATCAAAAGTGTTTCTTGGTGATGGAAAACCTGGGGGTCTACACCAGATGCTCTTGACTTTTTCTCTTGGGAAAGTGATGAGCAAATGGGCAAAGCCTACTTGGGTTGGTTTGCCAGGCTGTGTATCTCCTTGGTCTTTCTGTCTGGCGTAGACATACCCAGAAGGTCCAGCATTCTAAACACAAGCATCTCTCAGCCTTACCCAGGGGTCCATCATGTGCACGGGAATTGTATTTTCTTCCCAGGCTCCAGGCAGCGAGATGTACTGCACAATTCAAATTGGGTCCATTAATCCTCATTTGTGCATTTGAATCTTTTGTTTAGCAGGAATGTTAAATCTGGCAGTACCAGCTTGGACCAATACCCACTGCAAAGGCTGCACAGGGCACAGCAGCACTCAGAACGTCCATTTCCAGTAGTTTGGTTTTTGCATTCATATTGTGATTTTTTTTAAAGAGACTTTTTTAAGCCAGAAAAAATGTAGGGGCTGAGACCTCCAGTGTTCTCCCTTTATAATATAGACTGCCTGGCTGGGCGCAGTCACTTATGTCTATACTGCTGGTACTTGGGGAGGCCGAGGCAGGAGTTCAAGAGTCTATACAAGAAAAACACAAGATCAGCCAGGCGTTTGGTGTATTCCTATAGTCCCAGTTACTTAGAACCCAAGAGTTCAAGGTTGCAGTGAGCTATGACTGTACCACTGCACTCTAGCCAGGGTGGCTGAGCAAGACCCTGTCTGGAAAAGAAAAAAGAATGCAGACTGCCTCCCATGGATGGTGGACATGTCCATGGAAATTGTAAATACAGAACGTTAAAGCAGTCATGCAGACACATTTTTAAATAAGAGCACTTTCCCCTTTTTGTGAAAATCCCATTCACTACAACACAGGGGAAGAAACTTAGTTTCATACTTATTTGCAAAGATATTTATCCGTTTATTTTACAGAGTTCTGCCTAAGACATTTAATTTTTCTTCAACCCATACACACAGATACCCTTCCCCCAATATCTCTAGGGAATCCGGCACAGCTGTCCCCTGAGCTTCCGGGGGAGTGGGCAGGCCTGGTTCCTCTCCTGTGAATGCCAGCTCAGGGTCCACGAGCCTGCCCGCTGTAGAAGTCACCTCCCCAGCTCTGTGTGTGCCCCTTCCTCCCAGACACCAAGCCTGCGGAGACCCAGAAACACCTCCACCCAGCTCACAGTTCCCATCTTTGTCCTTGTGCTGCTTTTAATTTTCACTTAGCTCTAGAAGAGGTGGAGGGAGTCAGTGGAGTGAACTGGAGAGGCACCAAAGGGGCTTCCCTCGCCCCGCAGGAGGTCTGGGACGATCTCCCTGCTCCGCCCTTGTTTCTTCCCTTTGCTGGGACAATCTCCTGTGTAGAAGGGCTTACCTCTGTCTCTGACTAGCTTCTGCGTCCACCACGTTCATTTCCAGGGCTGGGGCCCATGAGGACAAGGCCTGTCAGTGCTGAGCCTCAGGCTCCTCCTTCCCTGCCTTGACCATTGCCCCTCATTTCTAATAAAGAAGATTCTCACCCTGTGCTGACAGAGCTGGCAAACCCAAACTGGCTGTATAACTGGGTAAATGACAGAGAAATCTGAGCCGCCTTGCCTCTATGGCATGCATTGCTTCAGTTAGGGGAGTATAGGTGGGCATCCTCTTCTTTGAGTGCCCATCTCTACCTAAGAGAAACCGTGGCCACTCAGGAAAAACCCAGGCCTAGGTTCTCTGCCCCGTCCTGCCTACACCTGCCACCTTTAACCCCATGCACAGGTGGCTAGAGAGTGTGCTAACGTGCAGCAGAACCGTGACCCACAGAAGTCTACAGAGAAGAAAGAAGCCATTTGTAGCCAGTGTCTCCTTAGAAATCAGGACAATGTGAAGTCAGGGCTTTCCTGAAAGATGTACCAGCACCTGACATTTACCCATCCATGTTTTCTCTTTTTGTATGGGGAAAGCTGAAGGCTTAGCCTACTTGTTAAAAGTTTTCCTAGGGAGAGTTTGTGGGAACTAACACTCCAGGGGCACCTTACTCGGATTTGTTTTTCCTCTTCAGGTCCAGAGGGGGCAAACCTCTTTATTTACCACCTTCCACAGGAGTTTGGAGACCAGGACATTCTGCAGATGTTCATGCCTTTTGGGAACGTCATCTCTGCTAAAGTCTTCATTGACAAACAGACCAATCTGAGCAAGTGCTTTGGTATGCAAAGGAAACCGTGCTAAAATGTTGCAGCGGGTCCCCAAGTGAGAGTCCCCCAAGTGAGAGTCCGGGAAGTGAGAATGCGAATACGTATTTTCCAAGTCAGGGACTTCCCCGTGGAGGGGTGGTTTCCAATTTTCTGCGTGGACATAAGCAGATTTGGACAAAATTATTTAACGAGAAAAGGGGAAGAGGCTACATAAAAAAAGATCTAGAGAATTAAACTAAGTGCCCATAGATTAGGAAACATTCTATACTACACTACAGAGTTTTACACTGTTTATAGCTAATAATCTTCGTCACAGAGCAAGAACTTGCTCTTCAGTCCCCCTGGCCCAAACCAGGAGTTTTTCTTAGCAGCTGGGGCTTAGGCTCTCCTGACTCAGAATGGCATGGTGGATGCTTTTGCCGCTGATTCCTTCCCCTCTGGGTGTTGTAGAACTCCCCCACCCCCCCAGGGTTGTGGGTAGCACCCTAAACTGGGGGCTCATTCTTCAGCATCTTGACAGCCAGCTGTAGACTTTGACACACACACACCGGCTCAGAGATGGTGAGGTGTTGAGGCTGCTGCCCTATTGTAGTAGCCCCACGTGCACATGGTGAGTGGTTGACTTAGCTCATGCTTACACGCAGTGCTGCTGCTGAAGGCGTCGGACGGCCGAGTTTAGGAGTGTGCAGGTCTCATGTGGCAGTGTCCGGGGTTCTGCACCATCCCACCGGGCTCTGCCCACTATGGCATTTGTCACTCCCTGAGAAGAAAAACGATAGGCTAGAGCTAATGCCTCACGCAGGAGGACGGCAGGCCTTAAATATCTTCCTTGTTTTCCTTTTCAACCCCTTGTGGCCCCCACCGCAGCTGAGAGGCCAGGCTGCTCAGTATACAGCCCAGTCTGAGTGAGAACAGTGCCTTCGTCACTCTTGCAGTGGAACAGGTCACCTTGTTAGCAGGTGGTTACAGGAACATAAAACAAGGGAGAGCAGCTACAGGCAGAGGAAATGATGGGAGTGTGCGGTGAAAACCGCATCAAAGGCAGGGGGCTTCTCAAACAGCCACAAACTCCAACTTACTATTTGGCTGACTGATAAGGGGTAGTCAGTCCAAAGAGAAACCTCTTGGTTTCTAAAACTCCCTGATCGAAGCATCTTTCTAATTTCTGTGCTATCACCCAGGAAGGTCTGAAGCCTCTGTCGTTAGGGGAATTGGCAGGTCAGCCGTGTAAAGCCCGTTCCTCCCCTGGCGAGAGGCTGTCAGCCTGAACCTGTTACTGCGAACCCCCTTGTGAAGGTGCAGGAGAAAGTGAAGTGGGAATTAAGTTATTGGGGAGTGGGGGATGTGAGCTTACCGTCGGGAGGCTTCCATGCACCAGGTTTGGAGCAGTTTCCTATTTTTCACAGCTGAATAATGTTCTAGGCCTATTTGGAGATTGGAAAGGGATTGTGCGTCAGGATGTGATTTGAGAGCAGCAAGCTAGAGCTGTCAGTATCGGTGGACAGGTATTGAACAGGAAGGACTGTGGTTGCAATTTTTGTCGAATGCCTTACCCCACAGCTGCCCGGGTGAGCAGCCCAGCCTCTTGGCCCTGGCTGCTGCCTCCGTTCCTTCTCCCTCTTGGCCAGGTTTTGTTATCAATCTCATCTTCGACCCACTTCCCTTCTCTAAGCATCTTGGGGCTTCAAGATAAAGACCTAGAAGGGACGGAGAAAGTAAAATCATAGCAGCCAATCTTGGGTTCAAGATCATGTTCATTGGGAATTAGATTTAATAAAAATTGTAAAAGCCGTTTGTAGGACAGCCCCCTAGGAGCAGCTCTCTACCTGTTTTCATCTGCTGAGCCTGCTGTTCAGAGTGCACTTCTGTGCTTTGTCTCCCCTTCTAGTTTGTAAAGGAATTTCCTCTTTGGCCTTAAACTTTCACAGTCAGTAGATGGAGATGCTTAGTGTAGAACCTTCTGCACAGTGGAGGTTCGGACCAGGTGTGAAATCTGTGCAGGGGCCCCCTCTCACCACTGCGCTGAGCGGGAGCTGTACAAGGCGACCAGGCACGCCTCCATCAGCCGCGGCCCGGCCCTGGTACCTCACCCCCCAAGATCAGACAGACTATACGGTCTAAATTCTCTTGTTTGGGGGCCTCAGCAGAACATCACTACTTTTTCAAAAGCATGCCCTCCTGGCTGTTTTTGATGGCTGGGGTTGCTATGGAAAAGAATACTGAGTTACCTTAGCCTCAGCTGTTTCAACTGTTTATTCCCCAAGACTTTGGGAGATGCAAGGTACAATTTCTTTCCTGTTAACTTTACTAGAGCTTTGAAAATGGATATTGAGATGGAAAGGCCCAGCATTTTCCTGGGTTCCTGTCAATAACAACTCTGAACTGTTTTCTAGAGTTAATGCATAACTGACCCACCCTCTCGTCCAGCAGGCGTGGCTCCGTCTGTGAACACACCTGGGTGCTGGCCAGAAAGGCAGGCTGGTCTTTACAGTGCCCATGTCCCCCAGCCCCTCCCTGCCTCGAAGCCTCAACTGGTAGGGACACGGGAGCAGATATTTATGCCACTACTTATATGAGTAGCTGGTACCTGCATACCTGGGCTTCATCAGGAAGACTGAGGGACTTTAAACACAGTTTGACTGAATTTAGTATACAGGGTAACACACAGCTGCCTAGTCTGAGACATCAGTGCTCTGGGAGGCTTTTTCGGTGTGCTGCCTGTTACCTGGCATGTGGCTGCGACCCAGTGGGTCCCCCCACTGCCACATGCCTTGTCCCCGCCTGGCAGACACACGGGCAGCCGAGCAGAGCCCACCGAGTCCCAGGTAGGCCCCAGCTCAGGTGGTCCCCTGAGCCCCCTTTCAGCCCAGTTTCCTCTCCGGCCTGACCCCCCCCCTTCCCTTTCGTGTTTTCCAGGCTTTGTGAGCTACGACAATCCAGTATCAGCACAGGCTGCCATCCAGGCTATGAACGGCTTTCAGATCGGCATGAAACGCTTGAAGGTGCAGCTGAAGCGCTCCAAAAACGACAGCAAACCTTACTGATCCTCCCCGAGGCTCCGCTCTCATGTTAGCTTTCTTAGGGTAAGTCCCACGAGCCAGCCTGCTCTCAACAGGGGAGGCAGAGGAGGACCACATGGCCAGCTTTGACCAAGAGAGACGGTTATTTTTACAATAAGGCCTCCATTTCCCCCACCCATCCCCCCACCCAGTTTGCCATAATTAAAACCTGGGCTACCTTGTTTCTATTGAGTGAATTCCTCCTCCAGTTGTGCCACTGTATTTGTTTTGCAATTTGAATCTCTTTTTTTTTTTTTAATTTTTTTTGATGTTTTTGCTTTTTTAAAGAAAAACATAACACACAAATGACATCTCGCAAGAATTTGAAAGGCAAACAGACGCTAATGTGCAATTCTAACTCTGAAACCACGAGTGCCCCAGAGCACTGCCTGGAGAATCCCCTCCTTGTCTGGCGCCCACCGTGCCCCAGGGCCCTGGCCTCAGAGGGGACTGTGGTGGCCCAGAGAGGGAGGAGCCAGGAGAAGCACTTAACGCAAAACAACACAGGTCTTTCCACTACACGGTTTGTTTTAAGAAGTAGGATTTTATTTTAGGGTTCCAAGAAACATGACATTATTCGTCAGATGATTACACTGGTGGTCTATTTTGTTATCGTTTTATTTTTAGTTTTTAGAAAGGATTAATGTAAAAAAAAAAGATTTAGAGATCTGTTTCTTAAAGCTACAGGGTTTAAACATAAAATAAAAATGAGTGAAAATACTTGATGTTTCTTGAAAGATAAATTTAATAATAAATACATAAATAAAAAGAAAGCCACAGGCCTGTAAATTTTATTTGTAAAAAAAGCATTTCTATTTTTATACAAAATTTTTACTGCCTCAGAAATAATGGAAGTTATTTATTGCCTATTGTTAACTTATTGGGTACCTAAAGCGCAGTTCTGTCTAGCTAGAACCTTCTGAAGTAGTCTCTAGTGGAATTGTTCTAGGAATGGGCTTTTTTTCACCGTTGAACCCTAGACCTAAAAGTTCATGCTTATCCTCTCGTTGTTTGTATCTGTCTAATTATTTTGTTCGTAACTTCCATTATCTAGTTTACGGTTCAGTCGTCCGACTCTCCCCGTATGTCACATTTGTTGAAACTGGACCCTCTCCCCTGTCCCTTGCCAGCCTCTCACCCCAAAACACCCGGAATCCATCCCCTCGGGCTCTCTCCAGATGGATTCTCTTGGGGTTTCATTGTGCTGTGGATTAAGAGTGTAAGAAATGCAAATTATGTGAATGGCTGGTAGACTCCCTAATGACCTGAGATTTGCATTAGTTTCTCTCCTGCACCCCTAAAAGTGATCGTGTTGCTGCTGCCTAGATTCTGTGTAACTTTTTACTCTCCCTGTTTTTTCCCTAGACATCTTCATGCCCGTTAGTTCATCGTTTGCCTAGCATGTCCCTGTGGCGTCTCAAACAAAGTTTCATCGTCCCGTCATTGTTTCTGATGTCTTTCTGACCTCACATCACATTTGGTTCTCCTACTGACTTTTGACCTAGTTTGACCTTTGAAATTTGCATGTGACCTCATCTAGCTATGAATTCTGGGAAGTCAATGTGAAAAACATTGCTGCATTCATGCAAGACTGAAATTTATTATTAGACAAGTTAACTATAGAAAAAACAACCTGTGGCAAAAACGTTTCTTTCTTCTTCTTCTTTTTTTTTTTTTTTTCTTTTCATAAAACAGACTTGAAAGTATTATACAGGGATTGGCATTCTTCCCGGTCACTGGTAACAATAGCAATATGTGTCCAGAGACACAGAATGTTGGTTTCTAACAGACTACTTCCAAAAACAGTTTGAGAAAAAAAAAAAAAAAACTGTCTGATTTTAAGTCTCTAGAGGTCTGTAATAGTTTTTACATTTTTCAGGCAGTGTAAAGTTTTTTGATAAGGCCATTTTAGGTGGCTCACTTTCTCATTAAGATATATATATAGAACCACTTTTTTGTAGATTAGTATAAGAAAAATATTTACCCTGTTTTGGGGCAAATGCTACCTATTTGTGTCACCTTTTGCTGAACTGACTCACAGTTAGACAATCCATGGTTTAATGCACATGAAATTACCTATATTTTATACTGTTTCAATGTACAGGAGAAAGGTTGCTGTAAGCAGTGTTACGTTGGTGCTTCTGTGAATTAAGTTGTGGTTTCATCATGAGTCTTACGGTCTCAATGTTATTTGTTGATAAGACAAGTTTAGAATTGGTTTACTTAAAACAAAAAAGAATTTCAAAAAAAAAAAAAAAGGTGTTTGCTTAAAAAAAAAATTTCATGTGAGGGGAAAAAAAACAAAAAAAAAAACCTATTCCAGAATAAGTTTTTTGTGTTGGCTTGTGAAGCACTGATGTCATTTTTTTTTTAATTATTGTGGACTATTTAGATGTGTTTGTGTTCAGCAAAATGTGATGGTTTTTTTTTTCTTTTAAAGAAAAAAAAGTGAAAATATATAGTGCCAAATTCCAAAGGTACTTCCTTCCTAGAGCTTCAAGTGTGTTTCTTGTGAGAAGTAATTTGATAACATGGGTATTTTATTATGTGTTTTGTATAAATCCCTAATATTTAAAAAACAAAAAAACAACAAAAAAAAAAGGTTTCAAAGTTTGTTAACTTGCTATCCTGTGGTCTTGTTGCCTGGAATTGTTATTGTTTGTTATTTCTCTATGATGTTTTTTGTAAGGCGTTATATCACTGCCCGCCTCTCACTTTTCTAACCACTCTGCACACCCACGCTGTGAAGGCAGCCTGACCATGTACTTTTCTTCATAATATATGGAAACCTCTAAGGTGAGAAAGTTTTGAACTTTTAACCCTTTCTACCCAGAGCTATCTGGAAGTTGGTAACCTTTGATACTTTGTTTGGGGAGGGGGGGTTGTCTTCTTCTAATTGGATTCCCCACCACCACCACTGCATAGATCTAGTAGGTTCCCCCCCCCCCACAGGTAGAAAAACACCTCCCCCAAGGTAAAAAGATCATCTATTTTTTCCTATACCTTTCCTTATTTCTGGTCTTTTTTTGGAAAAGAAATCTTAATATGCTAGTGGACTTTCATTTTAATGAAAAGTGGATAAACCCTCTAAAGGACGCTTCTGAGATCAAGTCCAGGGGTCTGTTCTAGTCTAGAATATTCTCACACCTTGCAGTGAAGCAACTTTGTGGTGGGCTGGTCCTTAAGGGGTTTGGCTTCTGTTTTCTCCATACCGCCCAGCAATGCTCCTAAGCAGCCACAGTGCTGGGGTGTCTCTGACCCTAACGGGCCAGGGGTCTGGAGTTAGAAGCCTACAGTCCTTGCCCTTTTCTTGGTTCAGTGAACACATTTAAAGGGGACTGACCCTGTAAGTAAAGCTCAGTTCTTTATCACACTTAACTGACCAAATACTTAGCACCAGTTCCCGCTGCCACCTTTTAAAGTGCCATGTAACTTTGACTTTCTGTGGCTGGGTACCCTGCTGTCTTGCCGTCCCTCCAGCCTTCCCTGGAAGCATCTTGGTTTCAGCCCCCTTTCCCCTCTCAGAGACTGCTTTGATCTCGTGTGGACGAGATAGCCCTGGGGTAGAAAGGACTAGCCTCTACTGATGCAAAAACAAAAACAAAAGTTTCCTTCTTACAGCACATGCACTTAAACGAGCTGTACTATCCTCACACGTGTTTACTACTGCTGGGGCCTTCCTTCATCCTCTGAGGGCTATTTTGTACTTCCTGCAGCAATCAGCTCAGTGACAAAGTTACCACACACGGCTCTCATCTCCCGTGTACCGGGGTGTGCGGATACAGACACAGAAATACAGTGAACACCATCTGAATTTCTTAGAATCTCCTTAGCAACACGCAACATTTTCTGATTCCTTCACTCACCTAAACTTCCCTTCTCCTGCCCTCTTCTCCTCTCATCCCACCTGCTCCCCCCACCCCCCAGGAGAAACCGTGCAGGAGCCCAGGAGGGGCAGGTGAAGTGGAGGAATTCTTATTTTCAAGCAGCCGAGATGGTAGGTACATTCAGGGGGAACTTCCTTTCTTTTTTCTCTTGGCATTTTTCATTGCTAAAATTGTAACAACCTTCCTCAGAGACAAAATATCCTGTATCCAAAAAACCAACAAACAAAAAAAGCTGCAAGGGTGCAAAGGGCCTGTACCAGAAGGAAAAACACACAGGGAAACTGCTTTTTTTTAAATCAAGTGTGTAGAGAATAGTCATTTTTAAACTAAATTAGAGAATTGTGACAAAATGGCAGTCCTCAAAGGCGTGACAAGTTCATCTTTCTTTCACCATAGGGGTTACAGTTCTTTGGCTTGTGCTACTCTGAAATCATTTTACTGTTTGTTTTTATTATTATCTTAAGTGCTAATTAAAAAGAAGAAATAAAATTTTAAAAAGACCTGTAGTTTCATTACCTTTTTGAATAATGTCATACAAAAAAATGTATTTGTGTTTTTTTGTGCTGTGAGAATTGTTGTTTGTAGATTAATGATATCATTTTGTTTAGAATTACGAAATAGTTTTTAAATACTGTCCGAGAAAAGCCAAAGTTAATGCAACCTAGTGGAAACTGTAAGACCATTTGAGTATTGTTTGTTTTATCGATGCATTTGGATTTTGTTGTTTGATGGAATTTGAGCCAAAAAAAAAAAAAAAAAAATACGCAGGCTTTCCTATTTCTACAACTGATTGTACTTATGCATTTTGTACCAGTGGAACTTTTTATACTGGAGATTAAAAAAATGGAAATTTTTGTGGCTTACTCTCGTGGGCCCCCTGACAATGACTGATTTCAAGTTTGATTTCTGGTTGACAGAAAGAAAGTTGCTTTTCTTTTGAGAATTAAAAACTTTGGCTTGATTTCTTTTTTTCCCTTGGCTTATATCTAGCATTAAGAATTTTGTCTTAAAATACAGCGGTAAGTTTCACTTTTTATTCTGTATCGTGCAGTTACACAATAAGGTAAATTAGATCTAGAAGTACTCAGTCACTTTAAGTGGATAAATGTATTAGTTAAAACTTTAGAGGTTTGCTTTTTTGCTGTTTAGATCAAAGTTTTTCTGATTCTTCTGTCCTCATTGTGAACATGACCGTGTAGTTGAAACAGTCAGACTTATTTTTGTAACGTATGTTACTGTGTGATGCGGTTTTTTGCTTCTGTCCCCAATATTAAACCATTTTCCTAATACTTGTCTCTCTCTGCGTGTTGTATTGTTTGGTGGTCATTACGTGTTGGTGATACATCTGCACACCTCACTGTTTGACGTATCTGTTTTTTCCTATCTGTCGTGTAAAAAGATACAGTCGATTCCACTTAAGTGAATATCTGATTTGGGAAAGGGGGATACTGCACACCAGCCACCTTTGATTTACGTACAACAGCCCACCTTAAACCACTGCTTCCATGAGCTTCCACGAGGAGGGGTCACCTCAGTAGCTGCCTGCTGAGCTGGATGGGCCGGGACCATTGATGGATGGCCTTTGACCACACAGGTTAAGTTCACCTTCTCCTCTGCCCACGCCCGCCCTCGTGAGTGTGTATACACATACAGACACAGGGCTTACTGGTCCTGCAGAACTGCTGCTAAGTTCTGCGGTCTCCCCACTAGTCCAAAGGCATCACTACTGTCCAACTGTCCCTAGAAACCAACTACCTTTTTAAAAGAGGTGGGTTCTCAAGGGAAGAAAAAGTAATAAACTTAGCTGTTGAATAATAAACTTAAGTCCGTGTGTGGCCATCCATCCCAAGATATGTACAGAAAAGTAATTTAAGATTGAATCCAGGGGCAGCTTTACCTATTACAACTCACAGAAGAGAAACAGGTCCAGGCCCTCACGTGGAAGGAGTGCCCAGCCCCGGGTAGGGAGGCAGTTTCTCACGCTCAGCTCTCCCTAAGGATGTTTGTTTCCTCTGTGAAGGCAACTAATGCCACACGCATCCACACCCCTCCTCCTGGACCAACGTGCAGTTAGGAATAAGCCTTGTCCACACCATGGCCCTGAGACCTGTTATCAAAAAGAGCAGACCCATTCCTTCCACTCCCTTTCCCACCCATCTCCTATGCTCAGGAATCTGATTGCTCTTAAAGTGCTCTTAAAAGATTCCATTGATGTTTGCTCCCACGTCTTATCTCTCCTTCCAATTTTTTCAGACGCACAAGCTCTGTCTGACTCAGGCGACCCAGTCCCTGGCAGCCTTCCTCTGGGGCCAGCGAGATCTCTCCCCGTAGGTGCTCAGGCCCTTTGCCCCCTCCTTGCAGCAGCCCCTCTGGCCCCAGATTGTATTTTCTAGTTGGCTTACAATAGAGGGGCCTGAGGAGGGGAGGAAAGGCCCCCCCATAGGACAGACACCTCAGTGACAGTGGCTCCACCAGCTCCAAACCTGCACCGAGGGGGCTGACTTCCTGCTGACACTTCTGCTTCCAACCTCCATCAGCGAGCCTCTGAAACCCACTGCTTACAGTAGTGGGAACGATGGCTAAGGGCGGGATTTCTTTTCTTTTATATTGGGGAGGGGGGAGGTTTGGGAGGCACGAGGGAAGGGAGGGGGGAAGAGGGTGATTAAATTCTTTCCAAGGTGCAAGTGTTTCTCTTTAAAATATCTAAGTACATATAGCCACCATTTGGCACAAGGCAAAATACTTAGGCTAAGTCAAGGAAGGGAAAAGACGAAGCCAGTTTTTGTTGCTTTGGATAAAGCAACAATAATAATTCTCCAAAGAAGGGGACGGAAATGCTAGTTCCTTTAAGCACTTAGGACTGGAAAGTTAGTCCCTGCTTAAAATTCATACCTATCAGTTTTTGTATCACACCGTCGCAGTGCGAGCAAGGTGTATCTGTTTGCCACGCATGGACCACCCTGGGAAATGACAGAACCGTCAGCACTGACCTTGCTGATGGAGGCCCCAGGTGTGCCCAGTGCACAGCCCTGGGTGCAGTCCATGGGCTGGGACTCTTAGCTGGCAGGCCAGGAAACACAGTGAACACACCCGTACTGTGAATCGTTCCTGATAAGTGAATAAAACATTGTGACCCAGCAATCAGCTTATTCACTTATCAGGAATCGACTGTTCTGCTGATTCGCTGTTTCTGTTCTCATCTCTGTTGTAGCTCACTACTTCTGCTGTGTTCTGTTTTCTCCTCTCGTGCTTGGGCAAAAATCACTGGGAATATTATCTTCGTGTGACCATGAAACGTTTATATTGAGTGACAATGATATCTTAACAAAATCTATGCACTTGCTATCAGGAACACAATACTGGATGTGTCTTATATATATTGAACTATATAGTACTCGATTTCTTAAATAAAGCTTAAGAAAGGAATGTCATGTGTAAAGTTAATGTGATTATTTTTCAAAGCAGTGTTTCTAAGGGGTATTTTTGTTCTTTTAAGTCTTGAGTGAAACAGGATGTTTTTTCATTCAAAATATATCACTGGCTTTATGAATTAATATTCAATAAATTAACTTTGGAAACAAAATGGAGTAGGGGGAAGTTTTTCGGAGTACATGGGGAAACCCACCCCCTTCCTGGGGACCGTGGCGAGCGTCTGCCGGGCGCTGTGGGTGGCAGAACCGCAGTCCCTCACCGCCAGCAGCACACTGGGGAGCACCCAGTGTCTGCCCTAACCTACAAAACCCAACTGGCCTTTCTGAACGCGCTCACTTTAGGCTCTGAAGAAAGGGGACAAAAGAAAAAGGCAGAACCAAGAATAATGATGATTTGCGTCAATCCTTTGCCAGAATAATGTGACACTAACACCATACCCTGCTGGAGGACAATAGCCCTTCTTTTCTATTCAGGACCACAAAACCAGAGTCAGCGAGAGAGGGTATTTGATCATTCAGGATGAGAAGGGTAAAATTTCAAAGCGATGTGTGAGAGAGAGAGACATCCTCTAACAGTCGTAAAGCTTAAACGGGAGGCCTGCTGCTTGCCCCTTTGAAGGAATATTTTTGAAATTTCTCCTACAGGCTGTAAGTTGGAACAGAATGGCATCTTCTGTTGGAGTTCTTTGCTTTGGGGCTTTATGTAAGATTTGTTTTTCTTAACGTTTGATTCTAAGAAAGACTCCTAAACGTCTCCTGGCTAACATGGCAGCCATCTTAATCCTTTACAAAGCAAATCTTAGGCATCCGTGCTAATGAGATAGAGCACAGGTAATGAACGTCTACAGATAATTATCCAAAATTCTTCCATTCCTTGCCTCCTCCTACCCCCAAAGCTCCTGCTCATAAATTTGTCTCACAAAAGAAACAAAACTTCCAGTGAAAGTGAGCAAAGACATACCTGAGGGACAGGAAAAGGTCACCAAATCAAAGTGCAGGGGTAGGCAGCACCGCTGGAATGAGGGGAGAGGTTAACACCAGAAGTCCACCGGTCTGCGTGACCTGGGCGTGGGTACTGGAGAGCCGGCTGCAGGTGGCATGTCTGGGGAGACCCTTAACAGTCACACAGCTCAAAAGCTGCCCCTTTTGTAAAGGGTGTAGGGCCAAGGGCATAATGGAAAAGAGCCCCAGTCGAGAAAGGGAGACTGAAAACCAACGTCTTCCCCTCTGTCTGCAGCCCTGACTCCCCAGGCTCCTGGGCCTCCCAAGCCAGGGCCTGCCTGCTGGGAGGCCACCTCCAGCGGCTCCTTGGGCATGTGGGGGGCAGGGGCTCCATTTCTTTGAACCTCCCTCAGCCGGTAGCAAAGCAGCCTGGCACCACCTTCTCCCTGCCTGCTGCAGGAGGATGTTTTTAAAAGACAAAAATTCATAAAATAAATAAACAATAAACACACATACCACGCTCTGCACCTAAAGCACATGAGTCCCTGGATGGTCCCCTCACAAAGCTGGGTGGAGGGTTCAGAAAGTGAGTGTCAGAAGCACTCCTTGGGGAGCTGGCTGCCTCCACCTGAACTCCAGCTCTACGCTAATTACTCACGTAATCTCTCTCTGCCTTAATTTTCTCATTAGCATAACGAGAGTAAAAATAATAACCTAATGCATGGGGTTGTTATAAGCATTACCTCAGCCAATACACACACAGTGTCACCGGAAAAGAAGCCGTATTATGTAAAATTCTTTAAAGAGGTTTTATCTGAGCTAAATGTAAGGAACCATGACCCTGAGCTATGCTCACAAAACTTGGAGCAAGTGGGCTGACTGGGTGGGGTGGGGGTACAGTTTGCTTTTACACATTTCATGGAGGCAGGAATTAGAGGTAAAGTCGTGAATCGGGGTGTGGAAGGCAGAGGCGGGGCTTACAGGTTATACGTGGGTTCAATTGGCTGAAAGAGTTAGGCTGTAATAGACCAGGGGTCAGTGAAAGGGATGTAAGTAAGGTAAGGGTCTGTTATCTGTCGATCAGAGACCCCAAGTGTTTTGCTGTGTATATTGAGGTGTGACTTAGGCCTGTTGATGAGTCACAAAGGACATCTCTAAGGAGGCAGGGGGACATGCTGGAGCATGTCTGATCTCCTTTCTGAGGGCCAGCAACTCAGTTTTAGTTCACAAAAGTGATTCCACCAGGGTCCGTCACATTATAACTACTCGATAGGGCATCGGTGAGGACCTGCAGACACGGTCAGCTACGCTCCCCCCTCTGCTGTCACTCTATCCTGCCAGGTGTCTGTCCACTCTCCTCAGGGAGCTCCACAGTGGCCCTTGGGTTCCCTGGGGCACTGCATACGGGTCCTGCACTAGTACAACTCAGAACAGGCTTTTCCCTCAGGAGAAACTGCCCAGGAGGGGCCCCCACCTTGCTGGTGAGCACACCACAGGGTTCCACGCTGTACCAGGATGACCAAAAACTCTGTTCTCAGAAAAGGAAGTTGATTCCTTGCTCCAATCTACCCCTTCCTCCCTGTGAACATCACACATAGGCATCTCTTCCCTAAAAGGAAGATGGGCTGTCCAATGCGCGCCCCAGGCAGGAGGGACAGTATCTCCTGTGGATGGGTCTATAAAGCTTGCAGGCTCTAGGCTCTTCCAAGGCAAACTCTGTCCTCTACAGCAAGCAGGATTGGCGGGGGTGGGGGGGTGGGGGGGAGCCTTTGCCCACCTTAGCAGGGTCAGGGCTCAGAAGCCCAGATGTACCAAGGAGGGGGCTCACCAGACTCCTGTCCCCCAATACAGCTGAAAGCACCCACCTCTGCTTGTTTTATTGGTGAGCATTGCAGAATTTTATTTAGAAAAACAAT